CCGGCTGGGGAGAGCGCCGGGGGAGTCCCCGGGCAAGGGCAAGGCTTTGCGGGGAAGCTCCTCGCCGGCTGGGGAAGCCGCCTCTGCGCAGCAGCCTCCGGCCTTGTACGTCCAGCTCCACGGAGAGACCGCCCGCAGGCTGGAACCGCACGAGAAGCCCCTGCAGATTCAAAACGACTACCTCTCGCAGCTGGGCTTCCGGGACCTGTGGCGGGTGCAGGAGGAGGGCATGGACTCGGAGACCGGTTGCCTCATCCGTTTCTATGCAGGTGGGTGCGAAATGAATGGGAGGCGTGTTTTGTGCTCCGGGGAGCGTGTGAATCATCCGTTGCCGCGCCGCTTCCTCGGTTTAACCAAGTGAGGGATCCCTCCTCCTCTTTGAGGTGCAGGGGCCGGGAAAATCCGCTCTCCTACTCTGGCGTGTCTGCAGCATGAATAGTTAACCCAGGAGTATTTTAACGGAGAAAACGTTACTACTAGTGGGTGAAGTGGGAAAGTCACGCTTCAGCGGGGTGGGGAGTTTAGGGGAAAGGGTGTGATCCCCTTCCCTGATCCAAGTGGTGGGTGCCTGTGGCTCTGTCTTTTTCCAGGTTACTTTTGTCAAGCTTTGGAAGATTTCCAAGAATGGATCAGAAATGTCCTGATCTCTTTTGTCTACATTTTCCAGTCTGTTTATAATTAGGTTGGAAACATGAGCAGGGAAAGGCTCTGAAGAAAAAGGGTCGGTACAGAAGATCTGTTAGAAAATAGTTCCTGATTGGCCTTTGGAATTTGGTTGCTGCTGAGTAATTTCTTCAGCTACTCATGGCCAAGGTGTGGAGGTTGTCTGCAGAGACTTTTCTTGTGTACCAACATCTGGAAGGGTTCTACTGTCTGCAAATATTATTTCTCTCACACCCACCCTCCAGATTTGCACTAGGAGAAGCAGGTGGTTTGTGGAAAAGTTATTTCTTGAACTTTTGAAGAGAAAGCACCAGCCACGACCTATTTATTGGGGCATTGAGGAAATGCTATTTCAAGGCACATGCATACATTTCGTCAGACAAAAAATCTTCTTTATAAAAATATGTGAAAGATTAAGTCTTTCTGTTTTTTAGATGGAACTGGTTCTCATTTACAAAAATGCTGTCTGTCTAATAATGTTCTGGGGCAAAATAAAAATACAAGTATAGGGATCTAAAAAAATCTGAGGGTTGTCAGAAACTGCTGAGACTTGCTTGTGTAACCTGTGGTTTATTTATCTGGACAGGCGTTACAATCTGAGGTCAAACTTTCCACCCAGTCCAGTTTAGATTCATTCAATCTGGGATTAAATTTGTGTTTCCTCATGGGTGAAAATCATTGCATATTAGAAGATGGAAGAAGCAAAACACAGTTTTTCAAATGTTCAGTGCTGAATGCACCTACCAGCTGACTTTTTCTGTTTTACCCTGCCAAGTCTTGATCATCTCCTCATCCTTTCTTTTTTTTTTTTTTCTTCAAAGTTCTAGGTAGAGAGCTAAGTATATCTGGATCTTGTTTTTATTTGGCCTGGATGTTCATCAACATACTGACTTAAGCTGTGCAGCGCTTTCTGGATATGAAAGCAGAAAGATACCTTAGGGTATGCTCCCACACCTTAGGCATGTCTGCATTTCTCTAAACCAAATGTGTCTTTTTGTTTTCCTGGATTCTTGCCTTTTTGCCTTGAAATCCAAAGCACTGCACACCTATAGCATTTACAAGTGGATTCACACAACAAGCTAATCTTGTGTTGCATGAATGCAGATGTTGTGGTTCGCTAATGGTTTATAGTTAGCAAGTTGCGTGAACTTAACTCTGGTTATTCCAAAAATGTTGGTCAAGCAAACCATAACTTTGTGTATTGTAGGAGCTTAGCCTTTTAGTTTGGTTGAGTAGAGCAAATGATGAAGAGATCTTTAGTTCCAGATTTAATCTTGGTTGTAGGAACTGCACACTGGTAGGATCTGTAAATTTGAAATCCAAGTAGCTTTTTCTTGTATATTGCTTGTTCCTTTTCTAAAAGCAGCTACAAGTAAAGCACTGGGGCAGTTTGGAATGTTTTGGTGATGAGACAGCCTTTCCCAACTGGGTGTCCTTCAGAAGTTTAATCATGGTAGTTGGAGATAATGGGGCCTGCTTGAAGACTGCTTGATTGTCAGAGTAAGACATTCTAGGTTCAAATACTTGAACAGTTGGTGATGGTCTTGCAGCTAATCTCCTCAACATAGTCATGATGAAGTTCTGTTTCAGAGAACTGTAACATATCCCCTTGGGCTACTTTGGTGGAAAACATCTGTTTATAAATGTTGTATATAATATTAATATTGAGGCCTGATATACAGACTGCTTCTGGAGGTATTTGGAATGTTCCAAATAATCTTTACCTAACTTTATTTGTTGTTGTATAAAGTTAAGCTGCTACTTGTGCTTGCAGTTTTTTTCTCTGATGATTAGTTGCTGTTGCATGTTTGCACTGCATGTGTGTGGGATTTTTGTTCGATGCCTTTTTTGCTTGTTTAGAGGATAATAAATGAAGAGTCAGTTGGTAGGGGTGGAAACAAGACAGATGTGCAAAAAATTATAAATAGTATATTAGGATACAGATATACTTCAGGCATTCAGAATCACAGCAGAATTTGTAGAAGTTTGGCTGCAGGTGATTTCTCAGATGTGAATGATATTATCTTTGAAAGGTAAAAATCTTATTTCAGAAACTCTGCTCCCAACATTTATTTCTGTGTACAACTTAAAGCTTTAGAAGTCCTGTTCTCCTTTAAGTCTAGCTTCTTCCTATGTAATTGTGATGTTTCAAACTGGCCCATTTAAATCTTGCTTAAAATATCTGCCTCTCAGGAGCTTGAGCATACACTTATTTTTACACTTTGCTTGCCTTTTTGTAGCTGCAAGCATTGATTTTAAAGCTGTGGCAAGAGGTAATTCACTTGATTAAGTGAGATTCCTGAGGGTGTGTGGGGGAAGAAACAAGAATAATCTAGGCCTTGCAGTAGAAGGGAAATGTGTGCTTAAGCCTTAAAAGAGCAATTCTGTTTCAACCTGACCTGCTTCCTTTATTGAGTTATCTGTGGAATGCGGTGGAGAAATCTCTGGAATGCCCTAACAAAATGATGGGAAAGCAGGTTATTTCATTTGCAATGACTTTTGTTTGTTCTCTTAGCAGTGATGATCCTAAGAGGAAATAGAAGATTCAGACCTGAGGAATTAAGTGACGGTGCTTGGGAGAAACAATTGACACAAGCTGGCCCAGGAATGCTTATCTTTGATTAAATCCCATTGAATAAAGTGAGGGATACTTTGGCGGAAACACAAGGACTTTTATATGCAAGTGCAGGCAGGTGATGATGGACAGTTTTAGAGGACCATTTTAACAAGTTATGACTTCTGCTATGCTTCAGGTTCAATCTCCAAAAGATGCTTTGGTGCGTTTGGGAGTGTGAATGTAGCACCTGTTTGCAATATCTTAAAGAAGCCCTGTTTTTTCCCAGGATGTCATGGCAGTTGCTGCAACAGGTGCTTTGATGGGCTCTGAAGCACTTTTTGGAGATCGGATCTGAAATGCTGCACAGCCTGAATGTCTGTATAACTTCTTGGTAAGCTAATAATCAGTATTGCCCTGCAAAATGGCATGAACAAGCTTACTGCGTTCCTACTGTCTTAAATTTCTGCAGGGCAGAAATGTGAGTTAAGTGTGTGTGTTTGGCGGAGCGATACTGTTGATGGTCTTATTAAACAGCTATATGAAAACTGGAATGAATTACCTTGACAAATTGTCAGCTGTATTCACCTATTGTTTACCTCCCAGTTTTGAACACAGTTGCTGATTTTGTAGAGTAAGCTGCAGGACCAGAACACACTGTACTTTTGATGAATTGGTGCTCCCCTCCCCGCACTGCCACTGAAACCTTATCTAAGTTAAAAAAAAAAAAAAAAAAAAA